TTCCATGACGGTACATGCTGTCTACAAACACGAAATACATAAGGTAAAGTAACGCGGTGGTGCGCCAAAACATTTAGAGAAACAGAGTACTGCCAGAGAAATACTCTAATTTGAAAATATTGTGGAGCAAATAGAGGAACACAGAACCACTACTGGCCTAAGTAGGGGTTTCGCATGTCAACGAACCCGTCATATTTATTTTGCACCGTCTAGCAAGTGCTATAGGAAATAAAGAGACTAGTTCGGAGGTTGTCAAGCTCAAAACCATTTCTGGCTTACCACGCGCTAGAGAGAATCCCTAGAGTAGACGGAAAAACGAAAAACGGAAGCATTTAGTAACACGCTGATGGGAACTTTATTAACAATTAGTCAGAGCATACAAGATCCTACATGCTACACGCTTTCTAGCACGCAAGCCAGAGGGACAGTTAGCATACTGTTGTATAAAACAACAGTGTTAATTTTTTTAGTCCGTACTGGCGATTGAAATTTTGTTTTATTTACTACAACAGGAAGCTGGACGAAGTTATGACACTTAAAAATGAACAGTAAACGGCATCGACAATGAATACTATATGAACTTTTTCGGGCAGATAGACAGTCAATTCACAAAACCCCACGTGGTACGATACAGTGGTCTTACCAGGACAGCAACTTTCCTTACCCGAATGTGATGTTACTCCCCTGTTGCTACAAACTGAACAAGCTGAGAAAAGGGCATTTCACTGAAAAGCGATTCGGAAAAGTTACTAATAAGTTAACCTTGTGTATGACGACGACGACAAGCCCCTAATAGCGAATCGCGTGAGAAGCGATTTCGCACAGAGGTCAAAGTGCGAGCCTTCGAGCGCGAATCGAGGGCAACTTTGTTCTCGAAAACGGAGAGGACGTGTCAGATGGGTACCTTTGTCTGACATTTATTGTTAATTTTTCGCGAGATTTTCCTCACAGTGGCCTAGACTACGTTGATATGTTCGATTTGATACACGTTTACTAATCCTACAACGAAGATTGACAACAGTGAGAAATTGGGGATCAACAAAGGAAAAAGAGGCGTTAGATAGGATCACGAGAAGGTAATCGATCGGAAAATGACGCATACGACCCACACATGATCTGCCGTGCCAGGCCT